CCCCAAAACCCCAAAACCCCTTGTTTCAAATCCTCAGGTAAATATGCAATTTTTTATTTATTGTAATCAGATAATAAATATATTATGGAGTTTAGAATGCTGATAAAGATGATTGGATTGGTAACTTTACCAATTCTAAGCAATGCTGCTTTTGGCGGAGTAGCCTTAGGTTCATCGTTGCAAGATTGCATTGACTTATTCGATACATTTGAAGCTACTAATTTCGGCCATAAGTCAGGAGCTGCTGCAAAACCATTCAGATAAGATGGATCATAACTCATTTCATGCGATTTCGTGGGATTATGTCCGGACGGAATCTCTCGTTAAACTTGCTCTTGGTTGAGATTCTTCAGCGTTAACTGTGAGACTGTTAGTGGCAATGTTTTTGCTTCGATCCGCACGAATTCTTTACCAAATCATTGTTATGACTCCAAAACAAATCCTGCGACAGGTTCAAGTACAGAGTTCAATGCTTATGAATTTTATCAAATCAGATTTAACTTAGAGCCAAGACTTATGCTACGGTTTGCAGGACTAAGTTAATCTAATTCAGATTCAATCTTTACCACAATAAATTCGTAATTGGCCTACAACACAGTTGCATGTTCCAATGGGTGGGCTCTTAATAGTTTGATCGATGCAAATATAATTGATGGAAATGAGTTTGTTTATAATCCTTTCAGATCTACTCCAATAAATGATGATTGGTCTTATACTGCTGATTTCTATACAAGATACCCTCATTTGAAACTTACTAGTTCAAATAGCATAGTCGGAGTTGCAAGAAATGGAGTATTTATTTTCTCTGGACTGACATTTGACGATTATGATGCCTTTTTCCCTGCTTCTTATGGTGCTAAGAATCTACCTAAAAAGGTATCAGTAGATTTGTGCCTTGGTACCACAGAGACTTACAATGTATACAGATATCATATGTACTCTCCCTGTATGTTTGATATTACAGTGAGATATTCTCAAGGTGGATGCACAACAAGTGCAATTTGTAGGAATGATGTAATTGATTATGCAAAGAAAATGACTTTAGCTACTTAAAGAACTTTCCTTCCAATCGGACTTGCCAAAGATGGTAGAATCATTTACGGACCTTATAAGGAAAACGGTAATCTCTGGTAACCATGCGAAGTCGATATATGCAATGGAAGATTGTTTGGTGACAACTATGCTTATGTCGCTACTATGTTCTTCCCCTATGTTGTAGGATGCTGGGGACCTGGAAACCTTGGAATGAATTATAAAGCAGAGTGTTCATCTAAGCCAAGACTTTGCAAATCAGGCTTCCAATCTTTACAATCACCATTTCTCATAGTAATTGCTACCCTCACCTTTGTCTTATTCAGCTTCTACAATTGAAACAAGATTATCTTTTTAATTTCTTAAGTTGATATAAATTTTCATTCATGTTTCTTTAACAGTATTTAATGAAATATTCATCTGATTTCAAATCAATGATTATGTGCTTGAATCAACTCCTCGGGGTTTTGGGGTTTTGGGGTTTTGGGG